CCCCGGCGAGCCCCCGGCCATGCGCAGCACCGGGCTCCTGTTCCCTCACTGTCCTTCTGCCCGGCCCCGGGAGGGGAGAGCAGTTCAGGTGGCAGTTTGATGGCACGGCTGACGGTCCTTGCGGGCAGCAGCGTCCTCGGCGCTCTGCCAGGCACAGTTGGGATGGATGCCGAGGTGGCCGAGCTTTGCGCTCCAGCCCCTGGTGCAGTCCGGCTCCCACCTCCCTTATAGGAAACCCTCCTTCTGGAACTGCTCCTTCAGGATGTCTCTGTACTGGTCAAAGCCACCCTCGATGCGGGTCACAGTGGCGTTCTCACACACCCACAGCTCCTGGCACACCAGGCGGATGAAGCGCTCGTTGTGGGACACCAGAATTACACCACCCTGCCAACACACAAGGAGGGGAAAAAAAAAAAAAAGGGAACTTAGCAGAGCACAACCCAGGGCCCAGTGCTGCTGGTACAGAGATGCTGCGCCCCTGTCCAACCCATGCCCAGGACTTCAGGTTTCCATCCGCTCCAGGGAAAACCGAATGGTGTTTCACTGGCAGGGACCTAATCCCAGCCTTTCCTTCCTTCAGCGGGACAGATGGATCATGGACAGAAGAGGCCCATGCAGCAGTAACGTATTTAACCTCCCTGCTCGGAAGGCAAGTGCAGGGTTTGTTACTGGCTCTCCAGGTCTGTGACAACTTCAAGGATGGAGATTCCAGGCGTAGTCAATGACAGTCAAAAGGTGGCTGGGCAAGGCCCCGAGCAACCTCAGTTAAGCTTTTCTTTCACAGGAAAACTGCCCCAACCTGAGCAACTATAAAACAGCGAGAACCAGATTGATCACAGCGGTATCTGGAGGCTGAGTCTTCGGAGATCAGCCACAAAACGTGCCGAAGGAAGATCTGAGCGGCCCCAAGGCAGGGCTGAGTGCTGCAGGCAGCACGTGAGAAGTCACAGGGTGTCAGTGACCGGTCAAGATGGGGGACAAGGTACTCTCTGGTCTGCTGTGCCTCTCTCAGCCACCCCTAGCCAAAGCCAACAAGTGAAACAAACCACCAAGGTAGATGGCTAAGGCAGAAATGTGACTCATTTCCCAAATCCTGTCCTGGACTTGAAGCCACCACTGCTATTCCACCATCCACCTCTGGCCGAGATACCAAGTAACTTGAGCTGGAGGCTGCAGGAAGCATTAGAAAAAGAGGAGATCTTGCTGAGGGAATCTTACCCGGAACTTATTCAGTGCCTTTGCCAATGCCTCAATGGTTTCCATGTCCAGATGATTTGTCGGCTCATCCAGGATGTAGAAGTTTGGACTGGAAGAGAAGACAGCTCTGAGCATGCACCACAACAGGCCCGGCCTGGGTCCGCAACCGGTCGCACTGCAGCAACCTCCTCCAGGCTGCTGCTTTAGCCGCTTGGAGCCACGGCCATCTGCACATGCCTGGCCTCAAGATCAGCGTTGCCCAGCTCCACGGACAGATCTTATCCCTGTGAGCCCAAAGCAGGAGAAAGCCACCTGCCTCCTTCCACACAGTCCCCTCAGGGTGACAACCTCCCTCCCCGCAAAAGTCCCAAGGACAAGGCTTCCGCGGGGGAGCGGAAAGTCCTTGGATGTCTGCCTTTCTCCCGGTGAAGCAGGCTCCAGAGATAGAGCCATGCAAAAAATGAACAGCATCTGGAAGAAAATTACCAGGACATTGTCATCTGGGCAAAGGCCACGCGACTCTTCTGACCTCCGGACAGGCTGGCCACGGGACGCACGGCCAGCTCCCCCGAGATGCCGTAGCTCCCCAGCTGATGCCGGTACTCTTCCTCCGTCTTCCCTGCAGGAGCGTGTCACAACACAGCTATCGCACACCCGGCGTGACACAGGGCCCTCAGCACCATGAGTTCAGTGGGCGCCGTGGCTGGGCAGCCTGTACCGGACCAGCACGGCGGGGGAGGAATTCAGCAGCTGCTTCCAGGCAATTCCCTCCCAAGCAGGGGCTTTGCAGGGAAAACCTGACTGACACAATCAGGACAGGAGCTGCAGGGCTGGGGACTGACTCCAAGTGACGCTGCCCCCAATTCCCTGTCACCGCATTACATAATGCCAAGTGGTGGAGAAGGGGGCTGGAGGTTTTGGCAGCTGGGAAAGGGGGAGATGGTGCTCATTCTGTGTCAGCAGGGAAACGGGGCATCTGCCCCCAAAACCCAGCCACGGT